CACTATCTTTAGTGAGAATTCCTCACTGACTTTTGGGGCGACCTACAAGTCAGAGATCTACACTAACAGTACAGATATTGTTGGAACTCAAGATCACACGAACGGATGCCACTTACTGATCAGCCAGTAAATTCTGAGAGAAATGATTCTAGATCAAAAGGAAGCTGTTACCTGATGGCAGTTCTGACACATTCGAGAATCGAAAGCTTGTGAAGGACCTGCTTGGTTCGCTGAATCTCCGTGTACGCAATCTACATCGAGCAGGCACTGGATTAGGGTCAACAACGGTATCTTTAGTAATTGCATTTTGTTGTAAGTTCTTCGAATTCTCCATGCTGGTAGCAACTTTCAGACACCTCCACCACTTCCTTATCTTGGCCCAAAGAATAACTTCACGGATTTGTCAGCAGAAGCCCATCCTGATCTCGCTGAATGGTTGTTTGAGGGAGACATAGCGCTAACGCCGGATCAAGCCAAGGCTATCATACGCGGACAAAATGGTATGGTGATAAGATTTAGAGCCGAATGGTCTCTTCCAGTGATTCTTCCATGGGTCATTAAACCCTAGCAAACACTTTTCAAAAGGTTTTCTTGAAGGGAATGGCAACCGCAAGAGACGTTGATCATACAGTGTTCGAGCCCTATCTGATCATTCCACTCCAAAATAATCGACAGTGAATAATCCCCATTGCAGCGATACATATTCACAGTTTTGAAACGCACCTTTGTGGTGTTAGAGCTGTATCAGTTCCTTTTCCTCTATGTGCTCGCTAATGCATGCACCAGGGTCACAATCGTGCTAGATTTGAGGCTTGAATTCGACGTATGCGTGAACATTTCTCTTCTATGGCAGTTCCGTTGGAATGTGTTGTTGTCTCTTGGTAGCAAACAATAAATGCGATCAAGTCATCGAAATTGTAGAGAGCTTTCGTTACCTAAGAAGCTTTCGAGTCGCACAAGGCTCGTGGACTTGGTGGTATATACTCGAATACATGCGACATGCAAGAAGTGGAGAGAGTCCACTGTAATCTGCGATTTGCAACGCCGAAGTGCAAGCAATAGGTGTATGGCAGTGGTAACGCCTCGATGTTCCGCGTCCGGCATCATGCAGGCGTTCTTCGTTAAAATGAAGCTACGAGAGCAGCAAGTGCGATGGAACGGGCACGTCGTCCGGAATCTTCAAGACCACTCAAAAAAAAGAATGTATTGTACCACTAAACCCTCGACAAACGGCACGAAATCACGAGACGACTCGAGGAAGAAGTGGAAGAACGTCATTGAGAAATACCTCACTAAAGATAAGGCCACCGCAGAGAACGCTCTGGGTAGAGTACAACAGCGACATTCCTTCCCGTGGTTCACTGCTCACTGATCGGATCCTCACATTAGATATGTGACTGCTGCAGAGCTATGACACAAAAGCCACTGACATGATGAGGGAAAAGCGGTTGCGGTGGCGTAATGGATATCTCACTCGCCCGATCATCGGAAGGTGCGGGCTTCGAGTCCCGCCCGGGTCCGACTTTTGCCCATAACTCAGCATTCTTGTGATAACTTTCGGATCGCGCACTGCGGCGTTAAACAGCAATTACCAAACTAAAACATTTTTGAAGCCTTTCGCTTTATTTTCCTTTCTTTGAACACTTGACCCTGTCTCTCACGATCCACTCTCTCATCAGCGACATAATACGACCTCTCCATATCTGCATGATTTCTCTATCCTTCTGCCCATGCCTAATCTGTGTAGGTCTCACTGCTTTTACGAGATAATTCCCAACCTAGAATTGGGTGTCTTTATCATATGGACGGCGGTTCATCCATTTTGTCCGAAAATGCCAGAGAAAATGAATGTTTTCTAATAACTAATTCAGAACCCAGTACGTCTCGCCAAAAGAGGAGTCAAACAGATCCATCAGGTTTTTGGAGTCCATATCGTTCAATATACTACACCTTTGACAGCTCATTACGTAAGTTCTTTACATCTTCTTTTGTGTCTCTGATATGTAAACGTGCCTACAGTGCCTATGAAGCTGAGGTAATATGGGCCTGTGGAAGCTTTACGAGCCCCTGCAGGCCCATATAAACGTTACACGGTTAGCCTTATGATGAAATAAATCTTATCATAAGGCCGATCCTGTGAGGTCCAGAGCAGTAATGGTTTTCAGCAAGCAGCGTTATCACGGTAATTCGGCAAGCAATTCAGTTCTGGACGACAAACACTTGCCTGAACTTCCAAGTGAGTGACAACATGGAATAATATACAAATGTTTCATATAAAATTTTTGGAAGCAATACCGGCCCTGTTTCATATTTACTTGCAAACTATTACTTCTCTGCTATCGAACTTTCCAGGAAAATCCAAGCGGGAACAACCGTCTTCGCTTCTACTTAGGAACGGGATGTTGGTCGTATATAGGCAAGCAAGCTGCATGGACAAGTCAGGAGATCTCTATCGGTAGAGGATGCGAATACGTGAGTCTAATTTTGAGCGATAAAAATTTGAGCCATGAAACCAGTGAACTGAATCTCGTGAGGCAACTTCTTCCAAAAAAATTCCATTGAGACACTGGAAGAGATGACCCCGTTCTGATGGTAGTGACAGCGCGTGGGACTTTGCGGCGGCCCCAATTCAACAATTAGGACGTCCTATCCTTCTTCTTGGTGCAACCCCGTGGGAGTATACCAGAAACATACTTTCCACATCATGAAACGCTACACACACTTGCAGTTCGGCATCGTAGCTCATGAAATCGGTCATGCGCTCGGATTTTATCATACGCAGTCACGCTACGATCGTGATTCATACGTTTGGATCAATCTCAATAACGTGGAGTCGGGAAAAGAGCACAATTTCGTGAAGGTTTGTGATGTCAGTTTGCATGCGGAGATAGTGTGAATTGTGAAACTTACAGCAAACTCCAGCGACCGAGAATCATTTCGGACTGCCGTACGACTACGGTAGCGTGATGCATTACGGTGGATGTAAGTTGGTTTCTAAGTAAGTCGAAAAAGTAGTAGCGAAAATCGTTCCTTAACACATCAAGTGGTGTTGTGACGAGCGGCATCGCGTCTTTCCCTTCATCCAGCGTCTTGCCGCCGTGTCAAACTCGACTTGATGCCTGAGGGTCTTGGTCTGGGTCGGAGGACGAGATCTACATATAGAAAGAGTCCGTGGCTTTGAAGCGTACCGAACGCTTACCCTTGTTCGGTTACGGTGTTACCATGCGGGCGGGTGCAACTACTTTATAGGCGACTATACAAACGTTATCATCACTGAATGGAGCCGGCTAGGACGTGCCAGCGCGCGGGGTGAGGGGAGGGGTTGACGCAGCGTCAGCCCGTTTTCCACCGGTCGTTGCGGCTTAGGGCGTTTAGAGAGTGGTGCAAAGGAGTGGGCACCACTGTCGCTTTGCACTTCTTACTGTCCGGTGATCTCGCCCCACCACATGCTTTCTTTGCTTTTTGCTCGTACAAATGCGCCCGTTAGGGGGATGTCAGCCGAGGCATTAACGACGATATTTTTGCTGTTTTTTTTTCGTTGATTTCCTTGGTGTTTCGCATCCCTACTTGAGCCGCTCTACCCCTAATATCTCATCGCGGGCTTTGACTTATGAAAATACCACCATGCAACTTCCTCTCTGGAGGAGCGCAGTCTACATCAAAGTTACCTCTAAATGTACGGGAATCATGAGCGCCTTCCTTGTAATTCACCGGATACTGCACCAAGCAATTAACCAACATTATAAGCCTGATGAATTACATTTATAATCCAGATGACTTTGCCGTTGATACCAACACCTACACTGTACGGACGATCAGGTCAGAATACCAGAACACTTTGGGACAACGAGAAAAACCGGCTTTCTCGGATGTTCGACTGATGAATTATGTTTACAACTGCTCCAGTGAGTCGCACTTACTTAATCAGAACGAGTTGTGCCTATCGGAGGCTGGAAAAGAATAAACATCCAAAGATTAAATTATTTGAAGATGCTGATTTTATGGGCGGGGTCCATCCTACTCCTCTAGACTGCCCAAATATCGAGGTCACGTCAATGAGAAGCGACCATAATCATCATTCCCCGCCCACGACCGACATGGACTGTGTTTTAACATAATCTAGCTAAGGCCTCCCGGTAATAGCTAAGTAAGTAGACCTTTGTGAAACCCATAACATCATATGAATTTTCTAGCGCTGTCTCAGGTCTGCTTTCAAAATCCGCCGAGCGTTTGTCTGAACGAAGTCATGAGGAGTTTCTGCTTCTTGCGCTGAGGATTGTGCGCGCCAGAGCACATTGAGCGCCTCACAGACGTTTTTGCGCGAAAAGTGTTACAACCATGTTTAAGGATCACACTATCTTTGTGAGCAAATTCCCAGCCAATTGAAACCTCGTCCTAGCAAAGAAAGCATGTCCATGGATTGGCTATGGCCCCAGCCACAGATTCTTGGTCGCCATTCACTGACTTTTTTGGAATTAGGACGAGATTATGAATTTGAATGCTGGGTTTCTTTTAAGGGTTCTACGGTTTTGAGCTCGTAACTGCGAAATGGCAGTAGTACTGCACAAAAACGAGAGTGAGGCACGTCACAAGCCTGACATGCTCATGCCCTCTTGTATGATGCACCAAACTCAGAAATATCTTTTCTACGACCATGCAAAGGCGAACATCGATATTTGAGCGAGGCTGAAATACTTCTCAGATATTCTCATGAATAAAGCAGAACTTTAGCGCAGCAAGGTACCGATCGTACTACTACTCCCCGTCTCCTACCGTTACCATGCTGCAACAACTACAGTCTTCTTTAGCCCTGATATGAGAGTGCTCCCACTCGACCGAAATAATGCATAAAACCCTCATAACATAGCTTGGACAAGCATTCGGCGCACTTTAGGGAGCAGATCCCAAAAAGGGTCTGAAAATCCACCTGATGGTATTAGTCTCATCACAGATAGTTTTTTCGACCTAGCGTCTTTCCCGGTGCGAACACACATACTACATGGAAATGCTCAGCATGAACTTTGTTGCTCAAAGTATGCCCCTAGCACCAAAATAGACGTGAACTGAGAATAGCACGTGATACTCTCACCTCTGCAATCATTATGCGGAGAAGCTGTAGCAGTTCACCTTCAATTAGGTGAGCGTGGTTTCCGCTGAAATTGCTTCATTTCGTGGCACAAAATCAGTTCTGACACTTGTGCAGCGCTGAGGAATTTTGTGATTCTATTGCAGGTTTCTGCACAAATGTTCCGGTACCTGCGTGTCGCCAGCCTGGCTTCCAGAATCCACGGAATTGCTACCAATGCATATGCCCACAAATGTTTGCGGGGGCAACCTGTCAAAACCTGCCGACCGGAACAGCACCCAATTGCAATGGAAGGATTCTTCAGGTAGGTGAACGAAGCGACTTTTCATTTTTCTGTGTTTGCAGGGGGCAACCCGTCAAAACCTACCCCTGGATCACTCACCTTCGAGTGGGAATCCGAAGCACCGTTCATATCTCGAGAGCAGAGGCGTTTAGACGCGCGGAATCGCGCACGTGCGATTGACTGCGCTCCATGGGATCGCTGGACCGCTGCAACTGCTAATTATTAGGCAGCGTTCATACTTCGCGACAGCGCTGCGATAGCGGCGACCTCGGCGATCGCCGCGATCGTCGGTACGTGGCAGAGCGCGCCCCAAACGCTGTTATGGACTGCTCGCTTGATAAATAGGCCTTTTTCATTTGATAATGGCTACTAACTGATAACTTACGACTTTCTATACATAAGCGGATCTGGAATATGAGGTAAGGAGGTTTCACTTCTTTTTAGGTCGGGATAAGCCAACTCCATTTCCTGGGTGAGCTTCTTTTTGTTTCTTTTGTTTTTATTGTTTCAATTTATGCAAGCGCCTTAAAATTCCTATCGTCTGAACTGTTCCAACTTCCAAAACATTTATAGTTCACAAGTCGAGTTCAAACAACGAAGAAAAAAAGAACAGAAAGAAACTCACCTAGGAACCAAAACACTAATCATTTTACGCAACATCAACAGGTGAAAACTTTATAACCTCATGTATAAGCTCGACGAATGAAAAAAGAAACAATAAAAACCTACCTAAATGAAGCTCTCACGCTTTTTGCTCATTTCTATCCTGAATCAAGAAAGAAGATGTTAGGTTGTCCGGAAAGTTCTCAGCGTTTTGGGTGTTTCACTTTAAACGATCGTAATCGAAATAGGCACCATTCGAATCAGCACACTTTTGCCAATGTGACAGCAGTTGAGAAATCCCATCAAAGTAAAAAACTGGGTGGTCGAGAGTTCACGAAATCCACGAAGGCTTTTTTGCCTGGTCCTGATTGATGAAGTATTTTTCAGCAAGGAAGTTCTGAAAATGTTTGAAAAGGTGATAGTCGGTTGGTGAAAGGTCTGGAGAATATGGTGGGTGTGGTAGAACTTCAACCCCAATTCGTTCAATTTATGGATAGTGATTTGTGAAACGTGTGGGCGGCGTTGTCATGCAAAAGAATCGGACCCTTTCTTTTGATAAGTGTTGGCTGCATCTGACAAAATTTTCGGTACAAATTCGTCGATTTCTTCACAGTAGGGTTCTGCTGTGATGGTTTGGCCTGGTGATAAAAAGTTATAGTGGATCACACCAGCCGATGACCACCAAGCCGTGACCAGAATCTTTTTTTCGTGAGGGTTCGGCTTTGAAAATTACCTCGGTGGTTCGTCGAAATCCAACCACTGTCCGGAACGTCTCCTGTTATCATACATGACCCATTTTTTTCATCACAGGTGACAATTCGGTCCAAAAACAGGTCGTTTCTGCTGCGCAAAAGCAATGCAGAAGGAACCTCGAGACGTGCCGATTCCTGCCGGTCACTCCGATTGTGGGGCACCCAATTGTCGAGTTTTTTCACCTTCCCAATGCGTTCCAGACCATCTGCAACAGTGGATTTGCCAAGGCCTAGCTCTTCTGCTATCTCTCGAACTGTTTGGGATGGGTCAGCCTCCAAAATCCCCTAAAATCCTCGTCAGATATTGCTTTAGGTCGACCGCTATGAGGTTCATCTTCAAGGCTGAAATCTCCAGAACGAAATTTGTTGAACCATTGCCGCACAGTGCTTTCTCTAGCACTATTGGGCCCCCACACCTGGTTAATTTGTTGAGCTGTTTCGATTGCGGATTGCCCCAATTTATAGTCGAAGAAAAAAATCGTCCGAAGTGCTCTTTTCACATGCTTGAAAAAATCTTGAAAAAAGGGGGTTTATCAAGCAATGGTGAAACGGCAATTATACCATCAGATAGCGCAAGAAATTCTCTACAGGATGTGCTACTGAGAAGCAAGGCAGAATGAGTTTTTAATCAGCAGTGAATGTACAAAATAGGTGCACAAAACGCTGAGAACTTTCCGGACAACCTAATAGAAGACAAAAGCCATCAGGTTGGGCTCACCCTTCGTGTCACAAGCTTCAGTATCTAAGAAAATTGCAGTTAAAGGAAAAAAAAGCATGAAATTGAGTCGCTTCTTCCCAAAAGCCTTCGGAGCGCAAGTAATAGCGTTGGGGCGCGCTCTGCCATGTACCGACGATCGCCGCTGCTGTCGCGAAGTATGAACGCTGCCTTATACTTAAGATGCAATTATTTTGAAGTTTGCATCGATCCAACGATAAGCGATGGAGCGCTGCCAGCCGCAGTCGCGCTTCTGGGGTAGTGCATCACTTGGACAGCAGCTAATTACTTCTAAAATGTGATGAAAAAATCAGCCACGTTTTCTTGTTTCAGGCTACGTCTACATCTTACACAACACTAAATGGTGTTGCTGGCAACCCGTACACAACAAGCTACAACTCGATGTCGATCCCCAACGACTGCTATTGGCATATCCAAGTAAGGTGTTTCAGAACAAAGTTTTGTGGCAGTCGGTGAACTCGTTGGGGAGCAGGATGTCAATACAGTTAAACGCTTTACTGCTGTTCCGGGCTCCCGCGTTCGTGAAAATCGGCAACATTCATAAGTGAATGTGAAGTCGTCCGCAGTTTATTTCGAGATTTACCCCTGAAAAGCTGCACATAAGAAGTTACGCGCCCAATTTTCAGGCACCCGCTGGGCGACGGCTTCAGCTAAGGTTAAGCAAACCGCCCAGTAATTGCATGCAAGGTTGTCCATGGCAAGGAATCGAGATCAATCTTGGCGAGTTCGACCGCCACGGAATCATGTAAGAAATCCACTGAAATTTATCCTGCCAGTACGATATCAGATTGCTATTCAAAACTGATTGAAAATTATGTACAGTAACGGGGGGGGTTGTTCTTACGCAGTGAACGAAACTGCCACACTCTCGCAAAAAGCTGTCAGGAAACAGGAGTACTATTCAAGCCTTTTGCAGTGGTATTTGTGGGCGTGGTTTACAGTGATACTATGGTACGGACTTCCCTCCCTATTACTGTACACCACGCCCACAAATACAGACACTATTAGTTTAGTTACAATCGCTATGCATTTTCATTGTCGCGCCCCTGCTCGTCACCGTTTTGAGAGGGACAGCGGTCCAGTGTCCAGGGACGGCACAATGATGAACTGCCCATGCCTCTACGGCTACCATGTACAGAACCTTAATCAGCTTCACAGTAATCGAAAGCGTCTTTTTTTTTGACTGAGGCACATGATCAGTGTGGGAATCGTGGGTGTCGTCTAGCCGCTGAGGGAAAGGTTGGTATTTCACGTTCAAAGCAGTTTTTTAGGCTGACGACTTCTGGTCAAGGGCTCTATAGTAACCCATCTTCAGCGACCCAGCATCCGCAACAACAAAATCGTATTTCCAGCGCAAAATCCTGTGTTTCCGTTGCAAATTTACCTCCTGGCAGTGGAAGAGCTGGGGTGTTGCCCCCTATCCCACTCTAACGGCAGAGTTCGGGGGGAAGGGGGGGGAACTTTGTAAGATAGTGCGCAGGCCGTGAGAGGCGATCGTACTGAAGGAGAATAAGCGGGGCGAGATGGTATAATACTTTGCGAAAAAAAACACCACAACGCGATCATGAGCCCTGTTCTGGACACTGGCCTCATTATTAACTACTACTAAAACATTCCATTTGCAGCCGCGTGGCGTTTCTAATGAAGAAGCGGAATCATTAAAAAAAAAGAAACAAAGGAAATAAATAGAGTGTAAAAAGCGTCCAACTAATTATATTTTCGTTTTAGAGTGTGTTGTGCGTCAACTCAGGTCTACACATCGACTGGCAACTTAGTTGCACTCCGCGGAATCGTTCGCAGCAGACAGCTCACCTTCAGTATCGACTACCGCGTCGTATAAATTCCGACCACTTTTGACATTTTATTCAATTCAGTAGTGAGTCTGCCACGTAGAGAAACATTCCGAGAAGAAGTTTCTGACAAAAGTTATTTGCAGAAAAGCCGCAAAAAAAGTGAAGATCTTAACGGGATGCAGTTTTTCGTTTTAAAGCAAACATGATCGCGTGAGTGTCCAACAGGCGCGAGAAACAATACACGTCCCACCACTGCAAGAACAACCGTAGTCATTGAAAAAACACAATAGTCTTCCACGTCGCCTGACGATTGTTGGGATTTCACGAAGAGGCTGGGTTTGGCGCGGTGTTCACAACCAATTATGGAAAATGGCAGTCGACCACAAGTGGACGACAACTGGCTGGCGCCGCTCCAAACCCGCCCCCTGAGACGCCCACTGACCGCATCGTACAAGACTCTACCCTTCAAAGGAACACGTCGTGCTTATAGAACACTCCTGCAGTATAGACAACCGTATCCGTTTGATAATTTCATTTCTGATTAATGCGAGATTTACATAAAATGAGTACGAATTCATGGCAGCCACTCAGCAGGCTGAGTCAGGCGAATGTTTTCGCTGTAGGACCAAAATTGTAATCGTTCGTTCAGGCATAAAAAAGGATGACAGTTGCGCGTAATTGGGAAAGCACAAAAGGTAAAACTTCGCCGTTGATTACGATCCTTTTGGAGAAGAGGATGAATGTATACTACTTTCCGCCTTAGTGTGAACTAACTCATATGTATGCGCTTAAAGCCCAGACAACGACCTAGGTGCCAGCCGTGCACTAGATCTGGGTTCTAACCTCGCTCGCAGACAGTCTGGCACCAATTTACCGGTCCCCCGAGGTAAGAAGAACTTGGTTGGCCTTGGGCGTACCTGACCCGGGACTCGAAAAACCAGCACTCAGACCGCGGCGCGTGAACGAGCGGCCGACCTTCGAATGAAGCGGGCAACCACGTTCTCCCTAATTGCAGGATATGGAGTGACACAATCAGTCGGCTCGGTGTCAGGAGGGGCGAGAGGGCTCCCTCTACTAAAGGTGATCGGCTAGTGGTCGATCAACGAAGAAAAGAACCAGAGTAGAAACGACGTGGGAACGATTCCATCCCTCCTGGAACCGCCCCGACTGATCTCAACGATATCAGTGTACACGGTTGAGCACAGAGTCTGTCTTTAATGATGCGTGTTGCTGTTTGTTTGTGAAACGCCATGACAGTAGATGCGATCTCGTGACAGGTTATGGTGTTACCTTCATGGTAAGCAGATACAACTAAATCTTCATATATTACACGCCTTCCTGAAACTGATGATAGGTAACTTCTTACCCACGTCAACAACTTAACATAATAATTCCTCTGATAAACATTAGCAGCATGAAAAATCAAATCGCCGATGAGCAACAATCAACAACAATGTGAATTAAACGAATTGAAAATCACAGCTAGACATCCCGCCTTCCAGCTGTTACCGTACCAGAGAACGCGTTGAGGAGCATGAAAGACTATTATGCTCAAAGAAAGCAAAAGAAAAATAATTTCCAAGCAATACATTAGAAAAGCTTTCAAGTCCGATCACAGGAACATCAATCTTCAAAAAATGTGCAAATTTGTAAAAGAATAAGAAAGTCGACAATTACAATAGGACAGAAAACAGCGTTATTATCGCCAGGCAAGTGATTTTAGCTGGAATGGACCACCGATAAGGCTCAAATCGGAGGGGTTAGCGAAAAACTATCTATTCTCTGATATAGTCCTCAAATACGTAAGTGTGCAGAAGGCTGTTCACAGAATCTTCAGCGAGTGCCTCTGACTGATGAAGGGCGAAATGAAGAGCTCGGAGCACTCGCCGAATTACCCGAAGTTGCTTGATGAAACTAAATTTCATATTCTCAGGTTACTACCACAACATGAAAACATCGATAATCGATTTATAACAAAACAAACTCACTAATGAAGCTTAGCCTCGTGTCTCACTCGGTAACGGCTCTCCCTGATACGGTGAATGGCTCGTATGAGTTTCACTTGCCTTTGACGAAGACGTCGACGGTTACTAAAAAAATGATGCGGCGCTGTACTTGTGCTATACTGCGACATAGATCATAAAAGAAGAAAAAAAAAAACAGAAGGAAAATGAAAACCTACTGGGTTACACAGAGGCGACCGCAATTAGTCAGCGCCATTTTCCATCGAAGTCTAGCAGAGCAGTGTGAGAGTACAAACGACAGCAGATTTGGCTGCGAAAATGGAAGAGATTCTGGGTATTTCCAGCTGATATCCGTCCTGGAAAGAATTCCTATAGAACAAAAAGGTCATGGAATCTCTACATCACGTGATAACCACATGAGGGACCGCTTCACTCAGCGGGCGAAAGTCTCATCCACTGTTATATCCATAACTTTTTGGAATCGCGAGGACCGTCAGGTGTGTTTGTTGAACTGGAACTGCAATACACATCCCCGGGCGTCCCACGCATTCCGTGTTTGAAAGACGGTATTTCCCGAACAGCCGTAGGTGCTATTTAACTATCGCTGGATTGTTTGAATGACGTCACTGCCACTCTTCGCAACTAATCCATCTATCAAACAACACATTTATTTATTTATGCGCCCCGACGACGCGTTGACAACAAATATAAACAAAGATGAGTGAAAGAGCGTTAAAAATCACCCCATATATACAGGGGGGGGCAAAAAAAAGACATTTCGACCGAGTCACATATCAGCAAAGTTTTCGCAGCCCAGACAGAGGACGTGGATACGAGTACCAGGGCGGAAGATACCCAAGATGTTCCTCTATAAGCAGGAGCTGGCTCTCGCCCATCACCTTCATGTACACCAAAATATGAAGTCATCTCCAGTCGCAGCCTGACTGGAGAAGACCTTTGGAATTCATGTCACCTCCAAACAGCTGCGAAACTTCTAGTATGGAGTCACCCATGGATAGCTACCTGGAGACCAGTACTCTCGATCTGGATGATCTCCAACATCGAGCAGCTCGCGACACGATCGCCAGCGCGTCTAGGACACATGCTCCAACCGCAGTCGCGCAAGAGCGCTGGTTGATTGTATGGACGCGGACGAACCCTAGGGAAGGAGAAGACGCAATATAATTTCTCTCGCGCAGGCGCGACGGACTGCAGGTGAGCACTGGAGGTACAGTCAGTAACTGCGAGGAAGAATATCCACCTCCACATGTCGTCGCCCGTACCTTCTTGGAAACTTTGTCCTGCTATAGCATTGAGTGCCACCACATGAAATCGAAGGGCGTTGGAGAAACACTCGTTTACCGAGGGCGTTGAGTACCTGAGGAAGGTGGAATATTCAAGCAGGTCATCTGACCCAAACCCCCTCAATTACCTGGTTCGGGCGGAGTTCAATAGGGTGGTCTACGGTGGCGGAGAAATCGACTATCTCGCTGATCTCAGGCACCCACTCACGGTCGCGTGGCAGAATCTCTCGATGGCGCTCTCTCCAGAAGGCTGTGCGGCGGAGTATCATAAAGTCATTTGATATTCTGGCGTGTGGAGGATAGGGTGGTGAAAATATCCGATAAAATTCAATAAAGTGCAACTTACAACGCCTCGAATGTCAAGGAAGAAAAAAAATTTTTTTGGCCCCCCCTCTGTATATAATCACCCCATATATATATATAATTCGGCTTTGCTCTGTTTGTTTGTGTTGTGTTGGTGAAGTTTGTAATCCTACTATATAGTAATCCGGCTGTGTGTGTGTGTGTGTGTGTGTGTGTGTGTGTGTGTGTGTGTGTGTGTGTGTGTGTCACGAAATTCATAGCGAGCGTCGCAGAAAAGATAGGATGACAGTTCCAAGAAGTGATATACATGGCAGGACGGGAACACTTTTGGTGGGTGTCAGGAGGTGATAACTCTTGATAAGATACGATAAGGGGCCGTAGAAGGGGAGGGTGACTGAATTCGTAGCGCAAGTTGCAGCAGGTGTGGGACCGTGATTTCAAGGAGTGATATACATGGCAGGACGGGAACACTTTTGGTGGGTGTCAGGAGGTGATAACTCTTGATAAGATACGATAAGGGGCCGTAGAAGGGGAGGGTGACTGAATTCGTAGCGCAAGTTGCAGCAGGTGTGGGACCGTGATTTTAAGGAGTGATATACATGGCAAGACCGGGAACACTTTTGTGGGTGTCAGGAGGTGATAACTCTTGATAAAATTCTATAAGGGGCCTTAAAAGGGGAGGTATCCGAATTCTAACGTGGCAAGTTGCAGCAACGGCGGGGACCATGATTCAAGTATTGATATGCCGTAGGGTGGGGCTGGCAGAAGCTGATAACAGTTGATAAGATCCGATAAGGGGCCTCGGAAGGGGAGGGTGACTGAATTCGTAGCGCAAGTTGCAGCAGGTGTGGGGACCATGATTTTAAGGAGTGATATACAAGGCAAGACGGGAACACTTTTGGAATCGGGTGTCAGGAGGTGATAGCACTTGATAAGATTCGATAAGGGGCCTTAAAAGGGAGGGTGACCGAATTCGTGGCAAGTTGCAGCAACGGCGGGACCATGATTTCAAGTACTGATATGCCGTAGGGTGGGGCTGGCAGAAGCTATTGGACTGATACGAGGTTGGATAGATCCGATAAGGGGCCTCGGAAGAGGAGGGTCATCAAATTCGTGGCGCAGGTTACAGCAACAGTGGGAACTCAGATCCGTGAGGTGATATAGGGTGTGGGACGGGAACATTATTGGCGGGCGACAGAAAGTGATAACAGTTGATAAGATACGGTAAGCGGCCTCGGAAGGGGAGGGTCATCAGATTCGTAACGCAGGTTACAGCAACAGTGGGACCTCTGATCCGAGAGGCGATACAGGGTGATAGGATAGTGATACGATGAACGGGAGTGTTATTGGCGGGTACGGAAGTGATAGGAGCTAAAAGTGACAAGGTAACATGGGAAAATCCGCTTCACCGCTCACAACAACAATGCGATCGATATGACTCAAGTATAACGATCTCAGTGATTCCAACAGAACTCATTCCTCACTGCTTATTAGTAACGACATCGTGTACGACCGCTAAGCCAGCTCTATTCCAAATGCATGTGGTTTTGTAGCTTTACAGAGATGTTATGCACAGCAGCAACTGACTTTATCACTCTTACCACAATTATCTTCCATCAGCAACTTCAGTGAGGGCCATTTAAAGGGTTCCACTGCTGAATGCGGTAGTGCATTCCAAAGCTTTAGGAAGACAGATTGCATAAATTATAGGCTGCTTCAGTGGCTGTCCAAACAGGCTGCACTATTTCCGTGTAGGTTATGAACGTACCAGTCGGATCGCTGGCTAAGCCGCTTTCCTCCTTCTGTGATGCGGGGGGGGGCGCTGCTGCTGCTTCTGCGCCTTGACGGAACAAGCGCTGCTTTTCAGTTCTTGGCTGATGCAGAAGATTCCTTTGAACAGTGTGGTTGGTCAACGATCCTTAACTTAACACGCGGCAAATCCGCATGGTCCGGCGAAAGCCTTGGCCTGTCACAGGAAAGGAGGAGCGCCAGGGTAGAAGGCTTGGTTGGCCTGGGCGGGAGTCGACCCGGGATTCGAACCCGGGACCGCGCGAATGGTGAGCGCCCCACTTGTCACTACACCATCTCCGCCTTTGTAATAATATACGTATAATAATATACGTGTAATAATATACGAATACAGGGCACGCTCAAAGTGTGTTGAGACCCGCCCACAGTGGGCGGAGCTTGCCCTAAATCGCAGGATACTCATTTTTAAAGTTTGTAGCTCGGTTCCAGAGCATTGCAAAGACCGGAAAAACGTGCGTCAAGGTCGGCAAAGGGTCGCCGGTGAGGATTGTGGGGCAAAAACGTTGTGGGCGGAGCCTGCTCCGAGGTGGGCGGAGCCAGACAAAAGGTCTGTAAAAGTTCCAGAGCACTCCGAAGACCGGAATAAAGTGAATTCAGGTCAGCAAGGGGTCGCCGATTAGAAATGTGGGGTATACATATTGTGGGCGGGGCCAGCCCGAGGTGGGCGGAGCCAGACGAAAATTCTCTAAAACTGTCCCAGAGCACTTCAAAGACCGGAAAAAAACGTGGATTAAGGTCAGCAGAGGGTCGCCGGTGAGGACTGTGGGCACAAAAATTGGGGGCGGAGCCTGCTTCGAAGTGGGCGGAGTCAGACAAAAGATCTGCAGAAACGGTCCCAGAGCACTCCGAAGACCGGAAAAAAGTGGATTAAGGTCAGCAGAGGGTCGCCAGTGAGGATTGTGGGGCACAAAAATTGGGGGCGGAGCCTGTTTCGAGGTGGGCGGAGCCAGACAAAAATTCTGTAGAACGGTTCCAGAACACTTCAGACACCGGAAAAAAAGTGGATTAAGGTCAGCAGAGGTCGCCGGTGAAGATTGTGGGCACAAAAATTGTGGGCGGGGTCTGCTCTGAGGTGGGCGGAGTCAGACGAAGAATCTGTAAAATAGCTCAAGAGTACTTCAGACACCGGAAAAAAGTGGAGTACAGAACAAAAGGCGGATATCAGTTGAGTCTAGAAATATGTGAAAGAAAGTACGCGCGGCGAAGCCGCGCCCGCCCGGCGCAGCCGGGCCGTATCAGAAGGAGCCGCGCCGGCGTCAGGCGAGGCGACTGGTAATGCTATAAGAACGAGGCACATATCAGCTATTTACCCTCCGAACAAGTATGGTCTATAGGCAGCAAAAGGAAAACGGGTTCTGAAAACAAACCAATTAAGAAAGGTGGGCAATCAGAGACCAGAGATATGTTCATACTCTCTTTGGCCAATGTCTACACCAGTCAGCAATGGTGCAATTACGCCACAGCACGGGGCATGGACCCTTACCGCAATTCCGACCCTGGAGTATATCGACAGCCCTCGTGAAACCGGCAAGCTCGACAGTGGCTAGGATACCATACCACATGGTCAAGGGCACGTAGTCGACCGATATAATGTTCAGGCAGCTGCTGTTTGCTTCGACTAAAGGATTTACCTATAGTATGCGAGGGTGAATGGCCAATGCTAAAGGAACGAGGTATGCAAAGTGCTAAAGAAGAGCCGAAGATTAAGAACAGAAACTATCGAACCAAAAACAAGCAAATAGCAATTCCTGCACAAAAACCGACATTCCCGCACAGTGTATTTAACTAAAATGAAGAGACACAATCTCCACTCTCTCGAAGACTGGGTGCTCGCTGTTAA